TTAGACTTAACTTTTTGATCGCTTCTCGGCCTCTTGGCTAAGATGAAATGTAGGCTTAACTTTTGATTTAACATACTCAGTCCATTACATTAGTAAGCCCCCACCTCCTCCCACCCCTCAAGGGCAAGTGTTACTAATCTTACAGAATTTTAATTCCTGGCAATTCAATGGTAGGTGTATTCTGAATATCCCTTGATCCTCCCTAAAACGGGGAGACGCAGGGCTGAGGGAGGGGCAGGACTGGGGAATGGGTTCACGAAAGTAGCCGGTGCTAGTGGATAAACTTCAACCCTATAGAAGCCATCAGAGAAGGCACTTCGGCAAGCCTGATGCAGACAGTGCCCAGCGAGCCCTCCATCGGTCAGCACTGCTCGGCTGCCCGCCCTGGGCGAGGCATCAGCCCGGATTCAGCTCCGTGTTTCTGCTGCGTAGGGTGCGTGTCCTCTCTACTGTCCCGGCGTGAGCACCTCGTCCTCCACTGAGGGAGAATTGTGATAAATTATCAGCCCTTTCTAACAGTGTGACTGGACTGAGTAATAACCCTTCCTTTGACATTTCATTCGAACTCTAAGGAGTAGCCACTTTTTCCTTTTTTAGGTTACAAAGTACCTATTTTAGTTGAATTCTCATTGGGCCTGACATAGTAAGTGTAGTAACCGCTTCATGGCTGTGGAAAATTGTTGTTTCCCACACAGAGTGTGTTTGCCGTTGACCTCCTTCAGAAATGGCGCTGCTGGTGACTGCAGTTTACATCAAGTCATTGGGAGACGGACAGTTTAAGCTGCCTGTCCCCCCCTCGGCCTGGTGTTGGACGCTGTGCTCTGGAACAGCACTTTGCAAAGCCCCAGCCTGTGCCTGTGCGTGGGGGTCAGTCAGAGCTTACTCTTTGCTGCTTTCCTTGTGCAAATTGACAAGTCGGTAGTCAAAAGGGATAAATTCCAGTTAAGGGAGAAAACGGTAATTGTGTGGGTCTGGGTTGATTGTACTGCGTCCTTTTTGCCCCAGTGAATGGTGTGAATTAATCACAGTTAAATCAGAACTGGCCAGGTTATGCCATGGTAACAGATGAGCTTCGAATCTCAGAGCCTGAGGGCAGTAAAGTCTCATTTCTTGTTGGTAGTGCCTGCTCATCTGAGTCAGCAGGGCCTCTCTGACACAGGTTTTCACTCTGGAACTGAAGCGGATGGAGTACCTTCTGCCTACATCATTGCTGACCTTATGCCAGGGGAGCAAAAGGGAGGGACAAGCCTCTGAGTGTCTTCTGGGTAAAGAGACGTGACAATTTCATTCATATTTAATTAGTTGGTACGTGTCCCCTGACTAAGCCTGGCTTCAAGGGTGCTGAGGAAAAGAAAGTCTTCTTGCAGGGAGAGAGACCCATGGGTGACACCGTCTGCCACCATCTGTTCCGTTCCAGTGGGAGGATACAGTTATGCGTCATGATTTACTAAAGTGAAATGAGCGCATAGGGATGTTTGTTAATATCCAGCTTGTTCTTTTTAGCGGCCAGCTGAAGTCATAGGCGCAGCCTGGTTCATACCTGGTCTATATCTGTTTGAAGCAACAGATCATTGTCTCAGCCCCCAGTATTTTTAAAATAAGTGATACAGCATGACTTTCTGAAAAATAACACTATGGCTGACAGTCCATTGAGCCCCAGTGATTTGAGCCAGGCACAAAGAACGCTGTGTTCATGTAACTTACATTTATAGATATTCACATTCCCTGCCAGTCCATAATGATGGTGATGATATTCAACACCCTGTGGCACTTAGAAAATACAGGAAAATACTAGGTGTTACACTATTCTAGGAGCTTTGTGAATATTAATTTATTTCATCTTTAAACAACTCCATGAAGAGGATACTACTATGGAGGCAGCACCTGTGGCTCAAGGAGTAGGGCACCAGCCCCATATACCGGGGTGGTGGGTTCAAGCCCAGCCCTGATCAAAAACTGCAAAAAAAAAAAAAAGAGAGAAGATACTACTGTGTACTATTACCCTTGTTTTATACAAGCGGAAACTGAGGCGCAGAGAGATCACAACCACGTCCAAAAACACAGCTAATAATGGGAGGGAAGTCTCGACTGTCTCTCACGTGGTAGAAATAGGGCGTGCCGTAAGCATTTCTTCTGTTTTCCTCCAGGTGGCAACGATGTGTCCGCGGGGCGGGAGAAGGGAACCCATGTCCCTCCAGGCTTGTTCGTTACTAGGTGCTCTTCCTGCTTCCTGCGGCTTGTCTTTATCTCACTAGGACTCTGTCATTAGCTTGTGTGTAGTTACGCCTCTCAGTGTATAAACAAAGGAACTTGAGTTCATACATGGGCACGTTCCCATTCAGACACAGTAACAGTAAAATCATGGGCACGTTCCCATTCAGACACAGTAACAGTGAGCTGGGAACTCACCCTGCGCTTGTCTGGCTGTGAACAAAGCTCAGGGCTGTCTGTGCCCCTGGAACCGTGCTCAGTCATAGCAGAGGATGGTCAGAGGACACGTGGAAATCATGTTGCATTTACTCATGTGAAGAGAGCTGAGTATGGGACCTGTGGAACACATCCGGGTGGCAATACGCGTGGGACAACTCGGTGGTCAGACTGACTCTGTAAGATTTCATCTACATAATGAGCCTGTGATTTCAGCTTATTCGAAAAGACTGGAGTCCTCCTGGCACATATCCCTGTCTACCTTTGGGAGATAGCCTGGTTATTACTTATTCCCACAGTGAATACTGAAGAAAGAAACTCTTCTTATATGTCACAACTGTCTTCACTCATTTTGCCAAAAGCCACCTGTAGTAGATGTTTTTTTCACTGATTTTCTCTTTCTCTTCATAACTCTTTTTTATTGAAGAGCTGAACAGTGTGACCTCAAGTACCAAACATTTTTAAATGTCAAGAACTTACTTTTTGGGTTTTTTTTTTTTTTTTTTGGCAGTTTTTGGCTGGGGCTGGTTTGAACCCGCCACCTCCAGCATATGGGGCCGGCACCCTACTCCTTTGAGCCACAGGTGCTGCCCAAGAACTTACTGTTTTAATTGATTAAAAAAAAAATGCTAGTGTCCTGTTATAGGTAGGGCTACTTTTTTTTTTTTTTTTCTGGTCTCAGTTGTTATTGTCATTGTTCAAAATGAAAGTTAAGTGATTTCTTTCTCACCCTTTCATCTCACCTGTCTCCTATGTTCAGTAAGTATTTTAAAATGTCTGCATGGATAGTCTGGTGCTTGGCATTTGGGGTTATTGTAAGCAAGCACTCCTTTCTCATGTCCAGAAAGAGCTCTTCTCCTGTGCAGTCTCCAGCTGCTCCCCAACAAGGCAGATGCTTACCCCAGGGCCCCCTTTCCTGCACGCTGAGTTAACTCTCAGCAGTCACTGAATTCTATTCCTCTAAGCTAGGGCACTGGGGACAAAGAAATAAGCCAGTTTCTGTCGATGGCAATACGTATCTTAGTTGTAGCAGTTTTATTTCTTGTGTAGTGAAATTATTTTTAAAGTACTAAGTATATATGTATATGTAAAGTATGAAGTATATATACACACACACACACGTAACATAAAATAATCCCAAAGTCTGGTGAATAAAAATGACAGTTTCTACCTTTTGCCCTCTTCTTACCAACCATTAGCATAGATTGTTATGGAGTTTTTCCCCCAGGAAAATAGAAACATTCATACTCTCAAAAACTTTTACATTAGGGCAGCGCCTGTGGCTCAAAGGAGTAGGGCCCAGCCCCATATGCCGGAGGTGGTGGGTTCAAACCCAGCCCCGGCCAAAAAAACAACTTTTACATCATAAGAAAATAGGCCTTATTGTCGTGTTCAAAGTTTGTCATATGAGAGTTTGTCATCTCTCTACCACATGAGAGACAGTCGAGACTTCCCTCCCATTATTAACTGTGTTTTTGGACGTGGTTTTTGAACTTTGTCATAGATTACTATGTTCACTTAACAACCATAATATCCTCTCATGGTGCTGTAGATTTTTCAAGCCTTTCTGTCAACCAGTTTCGTTTCACTGGTTTCCTAGGTGTGGGAGTTTTTTCAGCATTTTCAGTCTAGTACTGGGACCCGTTATTGATTTGTATCATATTTTTTGACATGTATATTTTTGTCTGTAGATCCGTGTTCAGTTATGTGAGTGTATTTAATCATCTTTAAATGGAAACCAGTTTTAAATTTTTGCTGGTTTAAATTATTCTCATTTATTATTTCAAATTATTAAAAGATAGCACATCTCCACCACATGTGATCAAAGTTTGTATCATAGTCCAAAAGAACGTCGAGTTTTTCCTTAGTCAATTACTTGGTATTGTCAAATTAAATGCTCTCACTTTAATCAAGTTAACTAATTTGACCTTGCCCCTAAACTTTAAAAAATTAGAATAGATCTAAGGAAAATCTAGATAAAACCAATAAAAAAGATAATAATAATCTAGGATTTGGGGAAATTATAGTGGACTGGCCAAGCATGTTTTTAATTATTTTGAAATGGTAGCAAAACCTAACAGAAAGGTCACTACCCTCAGAATCAGGAGATCCGACTTGGAATCCTGACTCTTTGGCTTAGAACAGTGAGAAGTGAAGTTTTCAGGAACCCAGTGAATCCTCCTAAGTTTACAAAGCTTTCCTTCCATCTCATGATGTTGGTTTGAGAATTCCATGGGAAGAATATACAAAAGGCTTTGTCATACAATTTTCGACACGTGGTGAAGGCTTCTTCTCGGGGCATTTGCCTCTGTCATCCAGAAGAACAAGGCCACTGTGAGGAGAGTGGATGGAATCGGCGTGACATACTCTCCATAAAGGACCCTGCTTTTTACATTACCCCGCAGACTGACCAGGAACCTCCTTCCCCTGCATCTACCCCAAAGTAACAAAATCCAGCCTCTAAAGCAAGTGCTTGACTAACTTGGTAGCAGCCACAGTGCTGCTGAGTCGTGAGGGCGTGGAAGGGGGATGGAAGCCAGCGTAGCCTTTGATGTGCTTTCTCTTACTTGCAGTGTACTTGAATGAAGCAGGGTTCAACTTCGTGAGGAAGTGCATTCAAGCCGTGGAAACAAGAGGTGAGTGTGGCCTGACAGGCAAAGCGTCCCTGAGGCCTGTCTCGTCTTCCCGAGAGATCTCTCAGGGAAGAAAATGAAGATGTTTCTAGTCGTTAACTTGAGGTTAATTTTAAGAATGTACAAATGTGTAAATAGTGTAAGTTTCCACATTGCTGTACCTTCAACTTCAACTTGCTCAAAATGATGCTGCAAACATTCTTTTTTTGCAGTTTTTGATCAGAGCTGGGTTTGAACCCGCCACCCCCGGCATATGGGGCTGGCGCCCTACTCCTTTGAGCCACAGGCGCTGCCCCGAACAGTCTTTTTTAAGATGATTTTTCTTAATATAGCTTCACTTTACTTCTTGCTGGTAAACTGTATGTTATTAATGACTGTAAGCATCTCTTTTCTCAGGCACTGAGGAGGCAGGATTCCCCAGGAGCTTGTGTTCATCCCCCCCGTTCCTCCCTCTGTTCCTTCCCCTTGCATTTTAGCTGCGGCCGTTCTGGCCCCTTTCTTCTCTTTAATCACAACCTCTGTGTTAAAGTCCACTCCAGGTAGATGTTAGATTCTCACTTCTGGGAAAACGTGTCTGGAGCAAAACTCATATTGGGCTTTGGAGTTTTATAAACTCATCCTCAGCTTTTAGTGCTGCCACGTAACAGTTTTGAGAACATAGGTAGGTTCCTTGAATTTGCCAAGTCTGTGCCCTCACCTTAAAAATGAAGATCTGAGCACCAGAGGACTGTTGGACAGACACGCAGAGGGCTCCGTGATGGGAGGACTGGGAGGCAGGAATACTGGTCATCCCTTCCCATCTTTGATGCTTTTTTATATTTAAATAGTGGTGAATGGGCACATATATTTTACCTCTTTGAAGATCTTCAAAGACTTTCAAATTACTGTTCTGTTTCTGCTCTGAGAAATACGTATCTGATGGGTATTTCCAGGGTAGGTTTGCTGAAGTTACACTGCAAAATTGGATAAGTAGCTTCTGTGTCGGCATATGTCTGAGTCTTTAGCATTCTGTAATTGCGAAGCTATGTCTCAAGCCATTTTCTTGTGATTTTTCTGTCCCATTATAGGCATCACCATCTTAGGCCTCTACCGAATAGGAGGCGTGAACTCAAAAGTTCAAAAACTCATGAACACCATATTTTGTAAGTTTTGGATGAAGCAAGTTATTTAATTATTTTTTAATATTCTTATAGGCAATATAAACTGCAGGTTTCTTTCAGGTATAGACATAATATTGCTTGTCTTTGAATATTTTCAAATAATATTTTAAATTAATATATTGTTTCTAATGCTCAGTTATAATAGATGAATAATCAGAATTTCAGGAGGCATTTTTAAAATATTGGACTTTTCCTCAATTGTTCTTTGCTTGGATTGAGATAGGGTAAGGGGAGGGCTGGGGGGCAGGAGTCATTGCTTGGTTTGGAATCCCAAATCGGCCACTTAGAAGTTTCATGACCTTGAGTACTTGGTTTAACTGCTTTGTGTCTCAGCCGTCTCATGTATAAAAATGGAGACAATGAGAGTGCCTGCCTCTTACAATATGTTGATCCCTGCAAAACGCTTAGAAGCGTGCTGGGTACACGTTAACTATTCTGTCATGTTAGCAATTAGCATTAATTCAATTGGAGAGATTTAAGATATTTTTGAGGTTTAGTGTTTGAGTGAGCTTTTTAACAATCCACACAAGCAAAAATCCTAGTTAGTTCTGTTGGTTCCTAAGAAATGAATACCTCACTCTTTAGACCTACTTAGATTTGTGTCCATTTTTATAATGGCACAAATAATACTTTGAGTTGCACAATTTAAACATGTTGTTTTCCTTCTTTCCAGCTCCAAAGTCCCCTCCTGATATTGACATTGACATTGAACTGTGGGACAATAAGACAATAACCAGCGGACTGAAAAACTACCTCAGGTGATGACTCCTGACTCTCTGGACGTGGCCTCCGGCTCAGCCTGGTGGGCGGTCACCATGGGATTTCCTGGTGCCTGTTTCCCAAGCTTCACTCTTTAGATCAGCTGCTTCCCTAAGGCAGTGGTTCTCAACCTTCCTAATGCCGAAGTGTATTTTCATAGTTAAAAAGGGGTCGGGACCCACAGGTTGAGAACCTCTGCCTTAAGGAACTAGTTCAGGGGGGTAGCATTGATATTTAGTATTCTGGAACTTGTACTTCATTTTTTCCAGTAATAACTTAAAAGACTGCAACATTTTTGAGAATACTGAATAAGTATTTTTTTGTTTCAAATTAAATTTGTAAGTGAGGTTTTCATGTACTTTTTGAAAATAACAAATTGAAACGGAAAATTGTTGTTTCCTTTTTAACTATTGTGCTCATATCTGAGAGTTGTTCCGGTGGTGAGATAGTTCTTACAAAATGAAAAAATTATCTCCCTGCCTCTTCTGCAGACAGAATCATGGTAAGAACTGCTCAGGGACACTGGTATCTTTGAGGTCCGCTTTTCAGCTCGGGGCCCTGCCCCTAGAACTTTATCCTGCTGCCTAATCACCCAGTTCTTTATATATTTTTTTATTTTATTTACAATTATTTTATTTGTGATTGAAAAATGACAACTACTCAATTCACAAAGAAGCAATGAAAGTTTTTTTGGTGGGGGGAAGACACTGCCATTGTGAACGGTGCCTCTCTCCTCTGTCAAGGTGCCTTGCAGAACCACTGATGACGTACAAGTTGCACAAAGACTTCATCGTGGCCGTTAGTAAGTACACTGGCCTCAGCTGCTCATGATGAGAGAGTCCTGTGCTGGGTCACTTGGGCATATACATTTAACTCAGCTAGTTAAGATTTTTTTCACATACTGCTTAAAAAGTTGTTAATCGAATACTTGGTAGCTTAAATGCGGCTTATAAACCAATAAAAAATTCCAGAACAAATGAACTAAAATATTTTGTGCCTTAACAAGACCTCGTCCAGGTGGCAATCTAGTGTGATTAGAAAGAGCTGTGAAGAATTATTCTCATTTCATGTACCTTGAGTGATGACTGCCAGTTTCCTTTGAAAGCAACTTTATGGTTAAATAAACAAGACTGCACCTGTGTACAGACAGTCACACCCCCATATACGCTCACGTGCTGTGTCCCAAATCTGGAGAGAAGAGCCAGCTGTTTGTGGCAGGCCTAGGAACTTCCATTACCCCCTTCCCCTCATAGTGTGTTTGTGAGTATCAGATATCTGTCATTTGTTTAGATCTGTGACTGCCATAACGTAAGATGAATAGAGAGGTTTAATTAAAATATTGGGGGAGAAGGTGGGAGGACGGTGAGAAAATGTAACTGAAGAAGTTAGTAATACATATTTTTAAACTATAGAGTCCAAAGTGCCAGATCTCCATCTGAGCCCATCACAACACCTTGTAACAATTAGAAGTTGGCGTTTCATTACGATGTACAAGGTGTAACTGTAACAAGACTGGTTTTTGCAATCCAAGAAAGAAATCAGTTGCATTAGTTTATTTGCTTGCCTTGTAACGTCACAGGACACAGGACGTGTCTACAGATGAAGGTGTCAGATAAAGGTGAATGACCTTGGCTTTCAAGCCAGCACTCAGCTTTTTCCTGAAGCTCTCCACTGTACATTCTCTTCACAGAAATTTATCATTCTAGGTGAACAGAACCTCAGAAAATAGATACTCTGACCTCTCATTCTACCAAGTAGGAAATCAGAACCCACAGTGGGCAAGTAACTTGTCCAAGCACACTAGTAAATTCATGGAGAAACCCAGGCTGCAAGCCAAGTTTTTACTTAACCTAGAAGCATTTCTTACAGAAATTTTGTTTTCCAACTGACATTTGAGCTACTTGACTAGAATACCTAAGTGAGCTGATTATTTTAGTGTAAGCTTTTGTTCCCCACTCTCTTCTTTGGCAGCGATGACCATATATATTTTGCAACCATCATATTAAAAATGTGGGGTTTTGTTTTTGGTGGGTTTCTTTCTTTCTTTTTCTTTTTCTTTTTTTTTTTAATTTTGAGATAGGATTTCACTCTGTTGCCAGGGCTAAAGTGCAGTAGCATCATCATAGCTCACTGCAATGAGCTCCAGGAGCTCTGCAACAACTGGCGTGATCATTCACATGTCTAAAGGTCTGATTCTATCCTGGACAGGCAAAACTCCTGCATTTTGGTGATATGGAAGTATATAGTTTAGTGGCTTAGGAGCACACAGACCTGGGTCTGCATGGCATCTCTGCTCTCTTAACTTCATGACCATGGGCAAGTTCCTCAAGTTCTCCTAAGTCATAGTAATGATAATGATAGTACCATATAAAGCAATGGTATAAGGCATGAGGGTAGGAGTGGCTATGATGTGAGATTGCTAGTGTTTACATACACATTTGAATGAAATTACTACTTGAGCATTTGCAACTTTTTCCATTGTAACAGAATCTGATGACCAGAACTACCGAGTGGAGGCTGTACATGCGTTGGTGCACAGACTGCCAGAGAAAAACCGAGAGATGCTGGACATCTTAATAAAGCATCTGGTCAAGTAATTCTCTAACTTATGTTGTTCATTTAACTGATTGTTCATCTGTCAGACTTAAGCCTGTACCACAGGGGTCCTCAAACTTTTTAAACAGGGGGCTAGTTTACTGTCCCGCCGACCGTTGGAGGGCCAGACTGCAGGCCCCAGGACAAGTCGGCTGCTAAGCAGGAGAGACAGTGGCGGCAAAAACACCGGGCGGGCCAGATAAATGTCCTCAGTGGGCCGCAGTTTGAGGACGCCTGCTGTACCATGTCTTTTTAAAATATGTGATGGGGTCATAATATTGCTCTTGTAATCAGAGTCCATTGAATATGTCTAAAAAAATACTATACCAGTTAATTTTAGGATACACCTATATGTATGTGTGTATCCATGTATATGTTTCCAGTATGCAAATTGTTATACTCTGGATGGAACTAGCAAACATTATCCTAAGTGAAATATTAAAGGATGAACAACTACCACATGTACTTGTTATTCAGCTGTTAGCTCAAACTAATTGATGAGCTCACAGGTGCACAGAGGGAGTAAAACTCCGTGGAAATCGATCAGAGAGGAAGGGGAGGAGATGAGCAAAATCTGCCTGATAGGTACAGTGAACACAGTTTGGGTGATGGGCACACTTGTAACCCAGACTCAAGCAAAGCAGAAGTGATACATGTAATGAACCAAAAAGATTTATACTCCTGTAATGTTTCGAAATAATAATTTAAAAAATTATATTCTTTGTAACTGTTAAACTAATGCGAAACACATAGATGTCACGTAAAGATGTGTGAAGGAGTGGACAGCTTTCCCCCGGTTCTTCTAAGTGTAAGCAGTGAGTTTGAGGTCAGTGCGGCTCTGCTGACAAAGGTCAACAGAGTCCTCAGGTTAGAGTCCCCCCCAGTCACGGTTTCTCTTGGTCTCTGGAGAGGGCTTTTTTTTTTTTTTTTTTTTTTTGCAGTTTTTGTCCGGGGCTGGGTTTGAACCCGCCACCTCCAGCATATGGGGCCGGTGCCCTACTCCTTTGAGCCACAGATGCTGCCTGTCTCTGGGGATTTTTCTGACTTTGCTTTTACTTCATCCGGGTACTTAAAAATTTCTGTTTCTCAGATAGAGGGAAGATCGATATTGTAGTATTGGAGTTCTCCAGAAAAATCAAAGCAATTGTGTGTGTGGAGAGAGAGAGAGAGAGAAATAGAGCAAGAGAGAGAGAGATGGGGGGAGAGAGGCGGGGACATTGATTGACTGAACTTAAGGAATTGGCTCATGTGATTGTAGGGCCTGCTAAGTCCCAAATCTGAAGACAGGCTGGCAGGCTAGAGCCCCAGGGGACAGGTGACAGTGCCCCACAAGTCCAAAGGCAGTCTTCTTCTTCTGCCTTCAAGTGATTAGATGAGGCCCACCCACATTATGAGGGTAATGTACTGTACTTAAAGTGTACTCATTTAAATGTTAACATCATCTAAAAAATACCTTCACAGAAACTTCTAGATTATAGTATAATCTTTGACTAAATATCTGGGTGCCAGGATCTAGCAAAGTTTAAATTAATTGTTACAGATATCATATCTGTCTACTATCTACCTGTCCATCTAGAGATTGAAAGACACATACAGAGACATATATACACACACACATATTTAATCCAAAAGTTTGCTGTGCTGCTGGCAACATGTCTAAATTCAGTTTTAAACTTACTCAAGAATTCCTTTACAGCTTTATTTGCTATTCAATAGGGACATTTCTTATTTTAATGTAAATAAAATAAAAATTTTATTTCCCCATGATTTACAATGAAATGATTAATCTTTCCGTCATTGCTACAAGTAGTAACCCAGTTTCTGCTCATTTGAACCATGCACATTTGAAATACTAGTTGAGCATCTTAAATCCAAAATCTAAAATCTAAAGCTTTTTGAATGCTGACATAATGCTCAAAGGAAATGGTCATTGGAACATTTTGGATTTTGGGATTTGAGATGCCTAAATAACAAATATAATTCAAATATTCCAAAATCTGAAAAAAAAAAATCCATAATCCAAAACACTTCTGGTCCTTATCATTTTGGATAAGGAATACTTACCCTGTAATGCTACATAAAGATATTGATAAGTCTCATCTTAATTTGCAGGCTTTGAGATAATATGAATTGTCCCCCCCCAATTCCAGCACACACACACCCCACCACCTTTACTGAATTTGCAGGCTTTGAGATAATATGAATTGTCCCCCCACTTCTAACACACACACACCACCAGCTCTACTTAAAATAAAACATAACTCCACTAGGAACAAGATCATTGAAGTGCATCATTAACTATTGAACCACACGTGTACTTCTTTTCAGCTAATAAACAAAGGACTTACTATCTTTGGTCAGGATTAGTTTTGAATTGTGTGAGCGCTTCATGAAATTGAGTTATACTATTTATTAGGCATTCTCTTGCTGGTCTTCAAGCTAATTTTCTAGAAAAGGCTTTTAAAATGTGCTTTTAAAAACCACATGAGTGTCACATAAAATGTTTTTGCCCAAGTATCCAGAATGTTCGGCGAACTTAAGCTTTACCCTTAACATGCCTGTGTGTGGCCTTGACACAGGGACCAGTGGGGGAGAGTATCTAGCCACTAAAGAATGCTGAAAATACTTACTTCCTCCTCCACCACTCGTCCTGGCTGCTTTCTTGGACCCAGCAAAGGTCAAGTCCCACTGAGCAACAGCTGTGGAATGTGTACCCAGGTCACCATTAACTTACTTAAGAAAACTTCAAACAGCTAATAATACTCTTGATCCTTGGCAACCTTTTATGCCTGAACAAAAGAAAATTTAAGACCAGTGACCTAGATTGGGATTCCAAAGGCTAGAAGAGTGATTGTAAATCTTCCTTAATTAACTCTGAGAAATACCCTAAACCGCTGCTTTCTTCCCCAGAGTCCTTTTGTTTGTCTTGAAAATAAAGGCTGTCTACAACATCTTTGGTTTTCAACTAACTTTAAATATTCAAAGTATTATTAATTTTTTAAATCATATTTGGGGCACATTCATCTATTTGTTAGGAGACATTTAAAAAAATTATTGCAACGTTTCTTTTGACTGCAAGGCAAAAAGTGAAAGTAGGTTTCTCCTAAATGAAAGTCTTTTAATTTTACTCCTGAGTGTGTAAAATTTTTTGCAGATTTGCTACTCTATATAAAATGTTTTTAACTTCGTAATAGTCAGGTGGCCTAATACCTGAGTGAGAACGTGAAACTACGCAAAGCTCTTGGTTCCTCTTTGGAAAGCACTCTCGGCAGCACATCAGGTCTCCTCGTGTGTTTGTAGCCTCTGCTGTTAGGTGCATGTATGTTTCTAATCGTTATAAATTCCTGTTGGAGTGAGCCTTTCTTCATTATATATTTTTTTTTATTTCTTTATTTTTTGAGACAGAGTCTCAAGCTATCCCCTGGGTAGAGTGTTGTGGCGTCATAGCTCACAGCAACCTCAAACTCTTAGGCTCAAGCAATTCTCTTGCCTCAGTTTTTCTATTTTTAATAGAGATGGTGTCTCACTCTTGCTCAGGCTGGTCTTGAACTCATGAGCTCAATCAATCCACCCTCCTGGGTCTCCCAAAGTGCTGGGACTACCAGCGTTTTATCTCTAACTAATATTTCTTTGTTTTAAATCCATTCTGTGTGATGTTACTATAGCTATTTTGACTTTCTTATTGCTTTTTGTATGTCCTCCATCTTTTTACTTTCAACCTATTTGTATTTCTGAACCTAAAGCATATCTATCTACTGTAGAAAACTTGTAGTTGAATCCTATTTTCTTTAATCCAGCCTGATAATCTCTGACTTTGATTATATTGTTTAATCCATGTACTTTTAATGTTATTATTGATGTGGTAGCTGGCTGTGTGTCTCTGTCTCAGGTAGAGTATGGGGGCTCATAATACCTCACAGCAACCTCAGACTTCAGGCTCCAGGGAGCCCTTCTGCCTCAGCCTCCCTCCCGAGTAGCTAGTGCACCCTATGCCCAGCTAATTTTTCTATGTTTTTGTAGAGATGGATTCTTGCTCTTGCTCAAGCTGGTTTAAACTCCCAGCCTCAAGCAGTCCTTCTGCCTCAGTGCCAGGATTGCAGTTGTCAGCCACCACACCTGGCTTCTAGTTTTCTGTATCTTTCATGTTCTTTGTTCTTGTGTTTCTTTATTGCTTTCTTGTGTTGGTAGTTCTTCCAGGGCTGACCATCTATCAGAATATAGGAACTCAATTCACGTGAGATACAGAGGCATTATTTTTACATAGTTCTAGAACATTTCCTCTTTCTCTTTTTGATGCTGTTCTTAATACACATGTTTTTTCTAACTAAACATGTTACAAACAACACAATACATTGTTGTAATGTCTCTTGGTGAAGCTGAGGAAGAAAGAGTAGTAAGCATATATTTATAGAGTTTGACATATGAACCTTTTTGCTTACCATTTATTATGTTCATTTTTGGGGGTGGATTTGAGTTACCATCTGGTATTATTTTCTTACTCCATTACGGCCTTGCTCTCATCCACCTTTGTTATGTTATTGTCAAATATATTGCACTTTTGTATGTTATAGTGATACCGGATTTCAAGTTCTTAGTCTCGGCCATTTGACAGACCACAGGATCAGTAGTAAGTTAGGATTTATTCAAGAAACAAAAATTACAACACCTGCAAAAACCAAACCTCCTGGCAGAGAGAACCCAGGAGGAGAACAAGTTCTCCTGCTCCCTCTTGGAGATCTGTCTTTGGGCTCTCTGCTCAAGGGATTATATAGTGTGTGGGGGGGGGGGGACTCAATGTTGACGTTGGTGGCTCCAGTGTCTCCAGAGCAGGTTTTCAGTCTGTCCATCAAGCTGGTTTCTCCACTTGCAACATCACTTCCAGGGCTAAGGTGGCAGGTTGTGGTGCCACCTTGTCCTGCATCAATAGGCCCAACAACATAATTATATACCTATTATTTTATACAATTACATTTTAAATCAATGAAGAGAAAGAAGAACAAATATGCATTTACACTATCTTTTAATTATGTGATTACCTTACTGGTATACTCGTGTTCATTGCTTATACAAATGCATGTGAATTAACACTCTGAGGTCACTTGCTTTTTAGTATTTTTAGTATAAAAACTTCTTTTAATAATTTTTGTGTGTGTGCGTTGGGATGTGGGTCTGCCAGCAATGAATTCTCTTAATTTTTTTTCACCTGGCAAGGTCTTTATTTCTCTTGTCTTAATTTTGCTGGATAAAAGATTCTTGGTTGACAGATTTTTTTTTTTTTAAAGCACTTGAATATGCCCTCTCCCTGCCGTCTATCCTTCATTGTCCTTGCTGAGAAGTGAGTGTTATACTTATGGGCATTCATTATGTGGGAGGAGTTTTTCTCTCACTGCTTTCAGAACTTTCTTTTTGTCTTTCTCTTTCAGCATTTTTATTGCCGTGTGTACAGCAGTGGATCTCCTTGTGTTTATGCTACTTGGAGTTTATTGAGCTTTTTGTATATGTAGGTTAAGGCACACATACTTCTCATCAAATTTGGGACGTTTTCAGCCACTGTGTCTTTGAACGTTTTTCTACTCCTTCCTTTCTTCTCCTTTTGGTATTCCCATTATTCTTTTATTAGTGTTGTTAATAATATACTACATTTTCTTTGATGTTCTGTCCATTCGTCTTCATTTCTTTTCTTTCTCTTCTTTATATTGCATGATCTCTACTGGTACATTTTCAAGTTTTTTATTCATTCTTCTGCCCGGTCAAATTTATTGTCACGACCTACTAATGAATTTTTCATTTCAGTTATTGTACTTTTCAACTTCAGTTTTCATTTGATTTTCTTTTAAAATGATTTCTTTCTCTTTATTGTTACTCTATACTTGATGAAACATTGTTGGAATACCTTCATACCGTCCATCAGTTTTTTAAACATAGTTTCCTTTAGTTCTTTGAACATATTTATAAAAATTTCTTTGAAGTATTCATCTGTTAAATCTGACATTTGGGTCTTCTCATAGGCAGTTTATGTTACCTACTTTTATGTGATTATGAGTCATACTTTTCTTGATTCTTTGCATGTATTATAATTTTTTGTTGAAAACTAGACATTTTAGCTACCATATTTTAGCAACTTTGGATGCTAATACTGATCCCCCCTCTCTTCAGGACATGTTTTTGTTGTTGTTGTTGTTGTTGTTGTTGTTTTTTGGTTACTGTTGTCTGTTTAGTGACTTAAGTGAACTATTTTAATAAAATCTATTCCCCCCCCCCATCCACCCAGTGTGAAGCCTTTGCTGTTGTCTCTTCCCAGGATATAGCCTTGGGCATGACCAGAGTCCATTATCCAGGGATAGTGGTGGTTTCAGCAACTTTGGGTTTTCTGTCCTTCATCCCTATATTAATCTGTTGGCTTCATTTGGTATCACACCAAGCTGTTAGTTTCCACTAATTGCTGGCAGATTATTTTTGTTTTTGACATTGCCCTGGGACATAAATTGGTCCACGGGCTGATTAAATTTGGGCTGTTGCCGTCCACATTTTTCACCCATCTTTGAGATTTGTTATGATTCTGAGGGGGCCCTTTTTAGCTCTCCCTTTCCCTGGTTATTTATTATTGTTTAGCTTGTTGCTCTCATAGAGCTACCATCTTCTTAATTTCTTACCACCAAACATCTCCATTGTTTTTGAAATCACACTTAAGTTTGAAATTTCTACACTCTGTTTCATATAATATTAGTTCTTTTGGGGAGAGCGTCAGAGTTTCTGTCGCTGTGGACTGCCTCTATAATCAGCAAAATCTTTAATCTGTTACTCTTGGTGTTGGACAGAGGAGATAACCCTTGGTATTCTCAGCTTGCCTGTACCCAGTAAGCAAGCTGGAGGTGAGGGTGATCAGGGTCCCCAATATTCTTGACCTGTTGTACCTCAGATGAAGCCTCCATCCTGTGAGTGTAGTTAGTTGGAGGAAGGAGCTGTTGCCCTTTTGGTTACACTCCTGGGAACTTCACCCTACAACTCAGAAGTTGAAGGGCAGAAACATGCTGGCAACTTACCCTCCCCAGCAGGATTCTATATTCTTTGCTGAGAGCTGCGGGGAGGGAGGGAGCACTGTCTTGTGGGTCACTCCTCTCCAGAATGGAGTCTCATTGACCTGGGGGTGGAGGAAAGAGGGAGCCAGTTATACCTCATGTACCAAACGCTTTTGCTATTCTTAGTGAAAATTAGTACATTTTCTTGAGCAAAGGTTTCTTCATTCTGTATGCTGTAAGGACAGTTTCCAAAGACTGTAAACATCTTGGAGAACTGTAATTTTAAATAATAATTTTAATCTGTTGTGATTGTTTCTCTGCATATTGGGTCTGTCAGGGCTTCTTATGCTACTTTTCTAGCAGTGGGTCTTATAAGCATATGATACAGGTTTTTCTTCATGTATAAACTTCTGGATTTAAAATGATACAAACTGGCAGATCCTGATGTACATTTTCTCTTTAAATTAAGGAAAGAGAAATGTTCCAGGAGACAGCAGTTGGGTATCTACTCCTCGTATGAGTTGAGGGAATGAGATGCGAATGTGCTGAATTGGGGGGTGGCTGGGGTACGTATCGGTTGACCAGCCCCGCAGAAGGGGAATGCAACAAGAAAAGATTGATTGTCCAGATGATCCCCCTTCGCAATACAGTCATCAGTCTTCCTTCTCAAAGCAGACCAAGTTTTTAATATTTCCAAATTTTTCCTAATGAGATTAATATTAACCATATTCCATCTTATTTACATCACAGGAACTGTGACATTTTAACGGGAATGCCTAACACCCGTTTAACTTCAGGGGAAAATATTGACATCGTATTGAATCTAATTTAACTTAATTCATTATTTCATTTAATTCTCTCAACCCTATCAGTGTTGTTGCACATATTTACAGATAACGAAACTGAAGTTTAGAGATATTAAATAACTAAGCTCACTCATCTTAGAAGGGCAGATCCAACCTTTGAGTCCATAAACTACTACTGGGTTCATACTACTTTCATTAGTAGGTTTTCTGTTATGTACTAAGCAGTTACTAATTTTATACATATATATGTATATGTATATATATTTGGTTATATAAAAAAGAACCTTGGAAAGAAATTCTTCTTCTAACTAAAAGCCTTTTTAGCTGCTGCTCTCTCAGGCATAAGGGAAAATGTTAGTTATTGTGGCAGTCAGCTCTTCCTTTGCTGTGTAAGAAGTTCCATGGCTAATCCCAACTCCTGAATTTCCCATAAAGTCTTACTTTTGGTTGGGATGCAGTTCAGTTCGTGATGTATACTCAGTCAGCCATACCCATGATCCTGTGTCGTGTTCCTTCCTAAACTTCACATACCAAAAACTTGGCTGGGAGTGAGATAGAATAAATTAGTCAAATGAATGAAGTTTCCTCTTCCCAGATTAAATTAAATTAGTAAACTAGTCAAGGCCCATGACAGTTGGTGAGATTGCTTTATTCAGTTCAGTGGTGTCAGAGACTTCATTTTATTTTCAAGAAAACAGTGACTTCACCATGTCTCCTTGCCTCACTTTTTTTCTCAGCACCATCAATGCCCAGCACTGGGGAAGTAATGAGGGAAGTTTTGGACAGATGGACGAATGGATGGATGGGCCAAAGGAAGGGAAGGAGGGAGAGAGAAAAACATGTATTGGCCAGCAGTGTGTCTGGGGAGCTCAGAGAAACCCTTGACTTGCAGTCAGGAGACCTGAACTGAAGTAGAACCTCTGCTCCTAATTTGCTGTGACCTCAAGCACATCATTTTTTTTAGGAGCTGGGGGGGATGCGGTGTTTGTTTTGTTTTGTTTTATTTTGTTGTCTGTACAATGCGAATATCTTATTCACTGGGACAATTAAGTACAATAATATATATGAATATGCCTGGCAGTAGGTTTTTTTTTTTGGCCGGGGCTGGGTTTGAACCTACTACCTCCGGTATATTGGGCCGGGGCCCTACTCCTTTGAGACACAGGCAGTGCTATATATTTGGTGAGTCCTAAAATAGTTGTAACCAGTCCATTCTTAACCATCTGTTCTAAGATAAGTATAGTATCATCGAAAATACCAAACAACTAATAATCTTTGTAGGGTAATTGTACTTTATTTAGGAAATTAAGGGTTCCCCCCCCTTAAGTAGATTATGTTTTGCTTGAGCTAATGTTAACTTTTTGCATCTTTTTAGGCTGTATCCAAAATGCTAATTGGGAGTGGCTAACAGCAGGACAATTAACCTATAATGGCATATTTTATTTTGTTTATGCTACGAATTTGATAGAAGAGGATATTCATAATTTTGAAACATTCAACTTATTTTTTTTTGTTGCTCTTTATTTGCAGAGTATCACTACACAGTCAACAAAATCTCATGACCGTCTCCAACCTTGGTGTCATATTTGGCCCAACTTTAATGAGAGCACAGGAAGAAACTGTGGCTGCCATGATGAATATTAAATTTCAGAATATCGTGGTAGAAATTCTGATAGAGCACTATGAAAAGGTAGGCTGAGTTTTCCTGTGGAACTGTCAAAGTTTGTATCTTGCTCTTATGAGGGAGCTTTGCATTTATATCATCTTTGAGCTTAGATTTCTTTATTCCTATAAAACGTTAATCTCTGAAGTTTTATGTAAATTACTCTTCACGAGGCCCTCGGGTTCTAGGTGCTTCTCCAAACCCTGCAGGTGGGCGGTTTCCTTCTTCGTCTCTGCTTGCTGTTCCAGGTTCCTCCTTTAGCCTTTGCTTGGTCAGTTTATTACCCGTATGCAGAGAACACCTCACATCACTTTGCGGGGAAGCCTACTCTCCCCCTCTCTTACTGTCGCTCTGGAACTACATTTTTAATTATATAATGGAGGTGATAGTCTAAATAAACAAAAGAAAAGATTTAGAGAACAGAGTTAGAGTCTTGTCCATATCCAGTCTCTAAGGAAGCTTTCTTTAAAAAAGCAAGAACTTGAAATAACTATGAACATAAAAACTTGTGAAAACTAACTTAGTTTGATTATTAATCAAATTCAGCCATTTAAGGTCTAACCATTTGTGATCCATTTATCTCTGAGCTAGTCCTCGTAAGAGAATGACTGTGCCTGTCTCCTGCCCTGGGTCCTCTCCTTGTGCCTGCAGTCAGCATCTCCTTAATGCCAGGAGTGCAGGGCTGCGTCCTAGAGCCAGGCCCTTGCCACTACCTGCAGTCTTTTGTGTTCTTAGATGGCTCAGAACCCGGAGCATGATAGCTGAGAAGGAGCAGCTTGGTAGAGAAACGATGTTACCCTTAGGTTGCCTTCATAAAAAGCATGCAGGTAGAAAAGGGGACATTATAATACAAAGAATCAGTATATCTTGAAATGAACATGTTTTTCATATTTGGACGATTTCTTGAAATTTATTGGAATGTCTTCTGAATTTTACTTTTGGGGAGCAGAGGAAAAGAAAAATCAAAACTCAGGGAGGAAACATCATTTAGTATGAGCAGACAAGAAAGTTATAATTGCTCTAGGATTTTTTTATTTTATTTTTTTTGTATCAAACATCTCTTGCAGTGCTAGGGGTTAAGTCATATAATTATAAGGTTATTTAATAACTCTCAAAGTTTATTGTACAAAGAAAATGTCAACGTCAACCTTTTATTGACAGGCAGATTGGGCCGTTTCTCTTTCTTGTAGATCTTTCACACTGCCCCAGACCCAAGCATTCCTCTTCCTCAGCCTCAGTCCCGATCTGGATCCCGAAGGACACGAGCGATCTGCCTCTCGACGGGCACTCGGAAGCCCCGGGGGAGGTATACTCCTTGCCTGGCAGAGCCGGACAGTAAGTGTGGCCAGCTGTGGGGAGCTGCTTGCTTGCTTTAATTCAGCCTTCCCTCACTTTACTGGTAATTAGGTAGAAATAGAAGACATTCTCACCGATGCTCTTTCCGCAGCGCCCCCTCCTCTCAGATTCATGTGTTCTCTGTCAATAGTTATTAGGTGCCGTGGGCAAGCAAATTCAGTATTGATACAAAGGGGAAAAATAGTTGCTCAAAGCCCTTTTTTCTGCAGCCCTGATTAAGGACATTGGGTGCTACTTTGAAGCAGATTTTGTCCTGTTGTCAAAACGGTAAAGAAAGCCAGAGAAAGTCTGGCTGAAGAGTCATTTTCTTTCTTCCTTTCACATTATGTTCTTAAAGCAACATCTCCTGGGTATCAGAGTGTCTGAAAGAGAAAAAAGAAATGAAAAGAAAACCGAGACCACACATTATTACTAACTTACCATTCGGAGTCAGGCCCCAAGACGACCCAGGGACAGCGTGAGCCCCCAAGATGACCCGGGGACAGCGTGAGCCAATGACAGGCGTTCACCTGTGGCCATTCGCATTTTACTTTCTACCCTCAGTTCTCTCTCTCTTTTTTTTTTCCCACAGTTAATATTAAATAGAAAATAGTCTGTGAACTTTTTAATTCAGACATATTTGAATGCTTTATTACAGTTTCTGCCACTCTCATACCTTTCTTGTAGGAACATTAAAAAAATAAACCCAATGAAATGGCCAGTCTCTTACATTGCTATATTCTTAGCAGGAAAAAGAAAAAATTTCTTTGAAAATTGTGAGCAGTTTGTAATTTTCTTCTGACACTTAGCAATGTCTTCGAATAGAAGAAAATTTGAATACATTGTAAGAAGAATCACCTGTGATCAGAAAAGTAAAAGCAGGCAGAACTGTCTTTAATGTACCCCCTTTCACAGATTTCTCATTATATCATAAAGGAATTATCTTTTTTCTCTTACTGATCTGCATTTCAGAAACAAATTTTTGTCTAGATTCAAGTCAGCCCTCGAATGGTTCCAGAAGCAGAATTATTACATAGGGACAGTTAGTTCATGGGTGTGTATAAAACATCCCTGAAGAGTATTGAAAAATCTGTTCACAAAGTTCAAATACATAATTGAAAGCCTTTCTCCAGTACTGAGGGTGGCTCTTCCCTTGAGATAAAGGCCTAGCCCTTGAATGGGGTCAGGTGGCCAGGGAGCACTTGGTGGGTGGGGACAGGAGGGTTCTGATGGTGCCTTTGTCAACAGACAGCTCCTGTGGCTCTCCCCTCTCACTCCTGCTCCCAGGTGACTCCTACAGCAGCAGCCCAGACAGCACCCCCATGGGCAGCATCGAGTCCCTCTCCTCTCACTCCTCGGAACAAAACAGCACCACAAAGTCAGCTTCCTGCCAGCCCAGGGAGAAATCTGGGGGGATTCCCTGGATCGCAACCCCGTCATCCTCCAATGGACAGAAGAGCCTTGGTCTCTGGACAACGAGTCCTGAATCAAGTTCCAGAGAAGACGCAGCCAAAACAGATGCAGAGTCCGATTGCCAGAGTGTGGCCTCAGTCACCACCCCAGGGGACGTCTCCCCACCCATAGACCTGGTCAAGAAAGGGCCTTATGGCCTTTCAGGACTAAAAAGAGCCTCCACGTCCTCGCTGAGATCCATCTCTGCAGCCGAAGGTGAGCCAGAAGGGATCTCGTGCCTGATACATTGTCCCGGTGTCCCTGGCTGCATTATTCAGTGCGATTAAGCAGGGATAAAGTGAATGGTGAAGAAACTAGCGATGCTTATCTGCTTTCTTCCTGAGCTTGGATTTTAAAACCTGTGCACTTTTTTCCTGTATCTTCCCATGTCTGTGAGGCGGTATCTTTGTAATTACTGTGGATTTTGATCTCGCTGAGTGATGGGTTGCTGTGCTCCGAGAACATTCTGTACCTTCCCATTTGGGCTCAGAGAAAAATGTTTCCTTTTGTCATGTACATGGACTGTGTTATTTTATTATTTTGTCTGATAGCACTTTGCCTGTTTTCTTGGGCTTTCTTTTTAGGAAACAAGAGCTACAGTGGATCTATTCAAAGTTTAACTTCTATAGGTTCCAAAGAGACGCCTAAAGCCTCACCAAACCCAGACCTGCCTCCAAAAATGTGCAGGAGGTTAAGGCTAGACACGGCCTCAAGCAACGGCTACCAGCGACCTGGCTCAGTGTAAGTGAGAGCTTGTGTTTGCTTTGTTTCCCAGTAGTGCAGACACCTTGAGTATGTTCAAAAGAACTGGGGGAGATGCCACAGTTGAACACTGCGTCTGTAGCGAGGGTCCAGTCAACTTCTGTAGGGCCTGTCCTTTCTAAAAGTGACGTGAAAGTCAGAGCAATATTAGAATATATGAAGTCTTCACACACTTTCCTTAGAAGTAGAGCTGTGACTTCACTAAAGGAAAAGAAAATAGATATCTGATATAGTACGTCTGGGCTTTGGAACGAGAAGCCTTCCTTCAAAAGCTGAACAGCTACCCGTTGGCTGAAGAGACTGCCATGCAGTGACCAGAAACCGGGCCCAGCTCCTGGGTCCCCTGTGTGTTTTAGTACAGCTGCTCTCTGTCCTCTGAAGGTTGGTTTTCTCTCCTGTCTATCCTCATATATCTCTCCTACCTGAGTCCTTGCTGACTTAAACAAATTCATAAAGAACAAGGAGCGTGAAAGGCCAAAGTGAGCATTTCTGATTGAATGAATTGACCCAGCAGTGTGAGTACAGGTCCTGCAGACATGAACAGAAGAGGGTCACAGAAGAACAAGGGGAAACCTGGATAAACCAGTCAAGACAAATCCAGGATGAGAAGTTCCTCTCCCTTCCATCTTGTTTCTTGACATTTTCTGAGCATCTCATGCTGCGGTCTGAGGTGTCACTGGGTGTCTTTACATAACTCATTTCTTTCAAAGGCCACAGCACCCTTTTGAAATAATGTACTATAAACCCCATTTTAGAGATGGTAAAAACCGGTGCCCAGAAATTTTAAGAAACGGGTCCACATTCACTGAGTTAGTACATGGCAGAGCCAGGGTTCCAACCCGGTTCATAGTTCTGTTCTCTTTCTACTATACGATCCCATTTTTAATATGATGATATTCTTGGCATTTTAATTGTTTATTAAAAGTACAGTAAGACGTTTTACTAATCCTGTTTCCTTAGGAGCAGTGTCAGATATTAGTCAGTTCACCCTTTTCTTGGATAATCTTTTGGTCACAGAGTGTGTTCAAAGTCTGTTATCCATTGCCTGTGGCTCGAAGGAGGTAGTGCCGGCCCCATATGCTGGAGGTGGCAGGTTCAAACCCAGCCCTGGCATAGAACTGCAAAGTCTACTATACCTTTGGGTTGGAAATGCAGTCACAGTGGTATCGACAAAGATGTTTGCAAATCTGTATACTCTTTACTGTGAATAGTTCTAGATATTAAGGATAATTAAACTTTAAGCCAATATATCAGGAGAGATTAGAGAATATAAACTCCATTCTTTGGAAGAAAGAGTTTCTGTTTTGTGATTGTTGTGGTAGTTAAAGTAGAAATTAGAATGAGGACGTGTATGTTCCGTGCTGAGTGATCTTTGAGATTTCCAAATGGCTTAACCCTGGAGAGCGTGTTCGGCAGCTGAAGAAATGAGATTTTTTTTATAGTCTAGAACATCAAGGAATTTGGCATTTTCTTCTAGTTAATAGAGAAACTTTTCTAATCACCCCAGGTGCCTTGATTTTGGTTCTTTTCAGTGTATACCAAGTAGTCCTGCCTCTTTGGTTAGAACAAGTCTTCTTCCCCTCCACCCTGGAGATGAGATTTCAATCCACAAATTTGTTTATTGGCCGTAATTTTGGGGTCCATCCTTTTCAGTCAACAGGAAATACGTTCCAAATATAAAAATAGCTATATAATTAGTAAACAGCAGTTCTTCTATCATGTTGATCTGATTCTTCCCTGTGACTCCACAGGAGCTGGTAGCTGCTGCTAGGAGTGCAGTGGGGAGAAAATGGTCTTTTTGCTGCTCCCACAGTTTTCTGAGATAGGATGAGACAGTGAAATCCCCAGAGGAGGCAGCTATCGGTTGATCACAGTCTGACCCTGTGTAAGCTGAAGACTAGAACAAAAATGTCATTAACATGAAAGCTCAAAACAGTTGAAGTTCAGGTCTAATTTCAACGATGGCTCATAACGATTTTTGTTTTGTTTCACTAATAACTCTGGTTTCCTTGGAGCAGACTGAATTTGACTGACTGTATCAAATGTGCATTTTAAAATCCTTTTTCAGAGTGGCAGCAAAAGCCCAACTGTTTGAAAATGTTGGTTCACCCAAACCAGTTTCTTCTGGACGGTAAGTTCTCAAAACCCTTCAACCCATTAAAAAATTAAATAGTGGTGACATTGTAGCTGTGTATTGACAGGACAGATTATCTGTGACAGCTCTGCCCTTCACTGACACAGATGATCAAATCCACCCCCACTGGCCCCGCAGGTGAGTCCTGTGTGTACACAGCCGTCAGCCCTCATTGTTACAGCTGGGCCTCGTGTGATAAAATCTTCACAGGAGAAGGGCTCTTAACAAATACATTTCCTAAAAGATGGAAGTTGCCGTCATCCTTTGTACACCGCTGATGGCAATTATTGCAAAAGCATATCCTTGGCTTTTAAAAATTATATAACTGTTGCTGGAAAAGTCTTCATGGACATTGACTGAAAAGATGGTTGTTTTTAAGGATGGCTGAGGTGTGGTAGAGCTCATTGCCCCAGACACGTCTTTGAGTACAGAACTTCATTCAGGGTTTTCAGACTTGGTACTCTATCACATTGTTAAAAAGAATGAGTTATGACAGCTTGCTGCTGTTAATATGCTTGCTTCTTAATTTCTGCTTCCCACATTTATTTTCCTAGCCCACAGTGGGCTTTGGTTTTTAATTTGAACAGTGGAATTTCTTAAAGGCAGGAGCTTTCATATGTATATGTGAAAATAATGTATTTTAACCACCCGCAGCCAGCGCAGGTAGGACGCAATAAAGGCTTGTGGTTGAAAGAGCGCGTAGTAACCGGGGAACTTGAGGAACAACCTTGATTTTTTTCTTTCCTTTGTGTGGAGTAAGGCTTTTGGGCTTCCCATGTCTGGCTAATCAAGGCAATGAGATAAGGGAATCACAGATAATCGAGGCATTGCTGCATTGTTCTTCCAAAAGTTATCTGACCAAAGAATTTTTATCAACCTTGTCAAAATATGTGGACTTTTTCAGCATGCATTTATTAAGCACACAGCACTTGGCGTGTGACAGTTATTAGGGATATCCGTGACCTTCAGACTGTTCGGTTTTGTTCAGAGGATGCTCAGACGTTAGCTTTGTACCTGCACAGAGCAGCGGCACTCTGGTGTCCTACTAGATGTTGGTCAGGGCCTTGCAGTTAGATAGCGGATCCCAGCACACTGCCCCTCCCCCCGCCTGCAGCCTCTTCACACTCCTTTTATCAAGGCATGGTGACACCTAAGCCCCCTGTCTGTCTGTCAGAGCAAACATACTCTCTGTGACTGTTAACCTACCCCTCAGTAGAAGAGGTTTCACCTGCTCCTTCTGTCCTTGTGGGATAAAGTTGAAGTAGTCCACTAGATGGAGCCCTCTTCTTAGGAAGCTCTGAAAAGAATCTGCCTGTTAAGTCAAATCTCAAGTACTGGAATCAAAGAGGTAATTCTACAGGGCTTTAAGCAAACAAACTATTAATGAAATAAATCAGAAAGTGCTCATATGATAAAGATTTACTCAGATGTTCAAAGATCAGCTCATGCACCTGTAATGGGCTTTACATTCTAAATAACTTAAATCAACTTCTAACTTGAGCATAAACTTACAACTGACCCAGCCGTACATTCAGGGTTGCAGTCTTTCTCTGTGGCACTTATTATCTGTGTCATAGCTTTTCACTGAGACAGGCACGACGGAATGTGAATGAACTCAGGGTCAGACAGATCCTTGTTCCAAATTCTGGTCTGCCTCTGTCTAGTCATGTAACCTTGGAGTTACTCACTTTGGACAAGCATTTTCTTTATCTATAAAATGAAGGTCATAATTCTGAGCTGGCCACATTGTTGAGAAGTATGCAGTAAGTAATGCTTTTGAATAGGATAGGTGATCTGCAGGTGGCTTTCACGTTAATAGCTATATTGTTATAGTTATTTTATTATTTTGGAGACAGAGCCTCAAGCTGTCCCCCTGGGTAGAGTGCTGTGGCATCACAGCTCACAGCAACCTCCAACTCCTGGGCTCAAGCAAGTCTCCTGCCTCCACCTCACAAAAAGCTGGGACCACAGGCGCCCATCACAACACCTGGCTATTTTTTGGTTGCAGCCGTCATTGTTGTTTGGCAGGCCTGGGCTGGATTCCAACCCGTCAGCTCAGGTGTATGTGGCTGACGCCTTAGCCGCTTGAGCCACAGGGCTAAGTTATTATTGAATAATAATAAAGGTTATAGTTATTATTGAAACTGCTTGCCTATGACATTCAAGCCTCTAATTTATATATTGATGGTATTTGAACACTAATTCTTAATAATCTCTTGTATTGTCAAATATAACTCAACACCTGATAGGAATTGAGGCCCTTTCCCTGACCTCCTACAGGGCCTTTCTCATGTGCCTTCTAAGGAACTCAAGGTTACCCTTAAGTTGGACCCTGAAAGAAACAAGAAACAGTGAAAACAATAGGAAGACTAGTCAGACTTGGGAAAGAGCATTTGGAAGATGTTAGTGGACGGCCTTGAGCAACAGAAAAGTAACACCTCTGGAGCCACAGCAGGCTCTGAATGTCACTGCACATTGCTGGTCTAATGGGTGATGCTCCTGAACGGGCAGTTCAAGTGGCTTTTCCAGGAGTTGTGAAAGGGAGAGAATAGCGTCAGCCACTTAGAGCAGAACTGGTGAGATTTAGAAGGCCTTAATTAGGAAAGTAACAAAAGTGTGAACCTATAAGGACAGGATCAAGACTGCACAACTGCTTTGATCTTGGGAGTAAGAGATGGGTAAAGAAGACTCCAAGTCCCTCCAACTAACTGTCAGAAAATAATGGCAGTTTATCTTATAATTTCAGCATGTGCATATGTTGGTGGAAAGATGGTTTTGGCCATAGATTTTGAGGGGTCTGGGGAATAGTAAGAGGCAGTTAGAAATGGGCAGCTGGACCCAGGAGCTTGATTTCCTTTTGAGAAACTTACACACAGCAGTTACACTGCATAGATGAAGGTGAGGGTGCCCAGCAATGGGGCATGTGAGTGAGAAAGAAAACAGGGCCGAGCATTGTCTTTGGGAAATGGTTTTATTTAAGAATCAAGTAAAGAAGAACGTGACGGAGTGGTCAGAAGGAGAAGGCAGAGCCAACTGCAGTGGGAGCTGCGAAAAGTCGCGGAGGCCAGGAGAGGACGCTGGGTTAGCCTCCAGGACACCACCGGATAGCTTAAAGTGCCTTCAGTGCACGAGAGGGCCTCGCTGCAAGTTACGTTAAAATGAATATTCCAGGGTTTCACCACCCATCTTATAAACTAGAATGTTTGAGACTAAAGCCTAGAGAACCTGCATTATTGCCTACCTCCCCACAGAATCTTAACATGTAAGAAAGTTTGAAGAACTCCTGGAATAGAGAAAAATGTCAAAGTATTTAGCATGGCCTTAAGCATACATTGGCCATTTACAGTTGTTTTCTTTGACCTGTGAAATACCTTTAAGAGCCAAACATCACAAGGCTTTGTCTCACTGTTAAACAGGTGAGCAGAAATAGTACCTTAAAGCCTTCACCTTGGTCTGAGTCCATTATGTTCTGTGAGGGGGGAGGTCCACCCTAAGGTAGTAAAATCAGGCAAGCTATAGAAAGATCTTCGAAGGGCCAGGTGAGAATTAAGAGAGTAATTTGAGACTTGAGTACCTGGCTCCCTATAGAGAATCAAATGTTTCTAGTTTGAAATTTTAAAGATTAATGTTTTATTTATAGCTACAGAGGACAAAAACAAAGCTCAAAGTTTTCGTATTCAGCGAGTTTCAGTAAGAGACACAGAAGATGCAGGAATGCACTATAACACACAAAAGAAAGGAAAAAGCCATGATTTAAAAAAATAATGTAATTTTTCTTTGTTTAGTGAATACCAATAAAAGAAAAATCGCATCCAATTTCATCACCTAAAGACAACTACTATTAAATTTTGATGCATAACTTTCTAATATCATATATGAGAGTGGTTCTTTTTGATCCAAGAATACTTTTATAAACTTAAAAAATTATTTAAAGCTCCCCAAAGAGCTTTTGTTTATATGAGTTGTTATTTATTGCTATGTACTGTATGAAAATTTAAGCTGAGAAATTTTCCTATTAACATTTAACATAAGACTAAACCCATTACACAGTAGCACAAATAATCTAATTTTTAAGAAAAATAGTATCTTCCAAAACAGAATTGAAGTGTTTTGCAGTTTTGTAGATCTTATAATACCTGGCAGATTCCCATCTGCATTCTGTTAGCTGGCAGAACGATGATGTCTTAGGTCCTGCGTCACCCCCACCCAGGGTTCCCTGACTGCACTTTGAGAACTACTATTTCTGTGATAAACACTCAGAAAAGATACATGGGGCGATTTTTCCTACCATAGTGCCCAGCACAAAATAGATGTTCAATAAAATCATTGAATGAAATGATAAAATAAACATTTTTAACCTAAAAATACTTTGTTATTCACTTTTTCTTTTCACTTGTAATGGAGCTGCAATATGCCTGCCTTTGACATAAGGACCTTTAACTGTACACGCTCAGGTGGAAGGTCTTCAGCACTGAGCGCTGAGCAGCATGTAGATAGCCACGCTGGAGACAGCCTGTGTGTGTTGGGAAAACCTGTGGAAAGAACATGGAACTCACTTTAAGAAATCTCCAGCCAGTGATCAGAACCCAAATGCAGTGGGTTTCATGGGCAGTTTAGGACTCTTGCCAAGGACATATTTATAAACTTTCTGCCTTGAACACGATCACTGTTTTTAATTTGTGCTTCAACAGTGGTTTTTGTAGTTGCCACCTGATTCGTGCACCTGCTTGGTGCACTCTGATTTATGAAGTCCTTTGGTGGTGAACACTTGGATTGTTGTGATTTAGTTGGTTATTTTTAGTTTTTATATATTGCACTTGCTGTGGCAACTTTCTATGACCTGTGTTCCCATTCCCTTTCAGAAGGGAAACTGTGTACCGTGTACAGAACGTGTGAGTGGGTGTGTGTGCACGTGTGTGTGTGTCATCGGAAAGCAACCCTACAGAAAACATCATACCAATTTTGGTGAATTTTTTATTTCTCTTAAGAGAAGCGTTGACAAATTTTGTCCACTAACCCTATGAAACCTTTGTAAGTTTACTCCCCAGCATTAGACGGCATTTAGAATCAGGAATGAGGCTTGTGAGCAGACCATTATCCTCATAGTAAGGGGAGAAATGGCTCTCAGGATAGTGTGTGTCATTGCCTCCCCCTCCCATGCTGTGAGAAGCAGGATTTTGAAGACCATTTTCAAAGGGAGATTAGAATCTTGTGAAGAGGGACAGTGTTATTTTCACATCCTCTACAATACACCGAGGCAGTGAGAGAGGAAGCATTAGCACCTGGAGGAGGCTTCACTGTCACAGAGTCTGCATTAAATCATCAGAGCTCTTTGCAGAGCAGAGCTAACACCTGCAGTAGTTAACAGGTCTCAGCAGAAGCAAATTCTGTCTAGTCATATGCACAGATAATTGAAAAGTCATGACAGGTGGCATTTGGTGCTATGTATTTCTGACACTTTTAACCATATCTATTTATTTATTATAGTGATAGGATTATTCTGTATACTTCTTCCTTCCTCCAACCAGTCCCATATAGTACTATAAAGAAAAATGAGAACATTCATGTCTAAAACATTAACAAATAAAGATTTTGGATGCATTTTAAAGCATAATTTCAAAAATTACATCCTTGCAAAGGGTCCTATGTCATAATCATTGTACAGCTTTGGAGATTATTTCCGTATAGCTCTCTTAATAGTTTATCTGAATGACCGAAAGAAAAGCAACAGTGTTTATTAGAAGAAATTGTTGCTGTTAGAAAATTTGGTTTATTGAAAAATCTTTATGTATTTTCAGGTTCAACTTTGCTAAAAGACATATAGGGAAAAGCTAATAATATTCTGCTGAAGACTACTGTAGTCTGATTGCTAGAAGTCTTCCGACCCTGGCGGCGTGCTCCCTTCCCACCTATACAATCCAACACACCCACGCGAATGTGTCCTCATGTGCCCACGCACAGCTCTTTGGGGATATAAAGCCCTACGCTTCTCAGGGTACCTCTCCTTCCTCAATTCTATCTTAGACCACATTTCTCTGGAAATTGTATTATGATCTTTCTAGGCCCACTCTACCTCAAGTGAAACAGTGTCCGGGGGCAGGCCCTGAATTTGCCTCCGTAAGTTTCCAGTCTTCAGATAGTCTTTGGGACTGCACTATTAAAATGACCAAGCCTCACCCTGGAAGTGCAGAGATAAGACCCAGTGTCTAGCAGCTCCAAAAGGAAAAAGAAATCTTCATGGAGGGCTGCCACTTTCAGAGACCTGTGTAGCTGAGGCTCTTCTGGGGGTAGAGTTCTAGGACCACAGAGAGGACAGGCAGGGAGCCTTGAATCCCAAAAAACGACTTGTCTTGTGGAAGACAAGCCCAGAATATTTCCCCTTTTTTCACTAATTCATTTAGCAAATACTCCGTCACTTCTTAGCACCAGGCATTGTTTTGTTTTGTTTTGTTTTTCTTGTGGACAGAGCCTCAAGCTGTCACCTTGGGTAGAGTGCTATCACAGCTCACAGCAACCTCCAACTCCTGGGCTCAAGCAATTCTGCCTCTGCCTCCCAGGTAGCTAGGACTACAGGCACCTGCCGCAACGCCCAGCTATTTTTTGGTTGCAGCTGTCATTGTTGTTTGGTAGGCCCGGGCTGGATTCGAACCCACCAGTGCAGGTGTTATGTTACTGGCACCTTAGCCACTTGAGCCACAGGCACCAAGCCAGCAGCAGGCATTGTTAATGGAGATTACATTCTAGTTAGGGGAGAAGATATAAAAAATCCATCAGTAATGACAACAGAATACCAGAAATGAACAGGGTTATGGTGACTTGAAGCAGGGGGTACAACAGCTCTTTGGTGCCTGGGCGGCTATTTTAGAGTGTGGGGTCTGGGAAGGCCTGACCGTCAGCAGAGCTCATGAAATTTAAGGTGAAGAGAAAGAGAAATTGTCTTCGCATTGGAGGGAGCACAGCTGATGCCGAGGTGAAAATGAGTCTGGCGTGTGTGAGGGAGGGGCCGGTGTGACTGGAGCAGAGGAGAGGAGCAGGGCTGGTGCGCAGAGGGGCAGAGCCTGCGGTGGGTGGGCCGGAGGAGGAAGCCAGCTGAAAGCCGTTACCAGGGAACTGACGTGGTCCTGTGGACACTTTCAAAGTTCCCTTTGTTTTGGCTGTTGTGTAAGTAATTGACTGTAAGGACCAAAAGAGAAAGCCTGGAGGTTTTAGGAAGCTGGTCAGTCAACCAGGCCAGAGATGATACTTGGTTGGACTCTAGTTGTGGAAGAAGAGCAGGTAGGTGGGTGGCGTCTGGATAAGCTGAGTTGTACTGAGGTCATCAGAGGTGGCAGAATTAAAGAGACTTGCCTGGGACCTTGGTCAGCAGCCTCAGATGACAGCTCAACTGTGTTAAATCAGATCTCATACAAGACTCGGAAATCATGATAACTATTAAAAAACCAGAGTGTCTGGCTGCATGGAGCATGAATCCACACGTGGTCACAGAAGTTGGACCCCAGTGCTGGCTTCCCTTGTTAGGAGATGGACATACTCTGGTTTGCAAAGCACCCGTGGGTCAGTGTCCGCGTCCTGGCAGTGAGGCTGTCGTTTACTAACCATTTATCATCGACTTACCCTGTTGTTTTCCTTCCATCACATCCACTCATCTTGTTCACCATTTCCTGGCATCTTTTTTAAACTTTGAATCTTTTCTCGGGTAGTCTGAAAATGAAAATGGCAAAATACCCCAAAGCTTTAAAGTACCTGGGAACCTTGGTTCCCACATAGCCTTAAAAACAGCCTATTTAGCAGCTTACTAACAATTCAGTAATTACAGTCTTTCATACCAAACTGTGCTGTTTGTTATAAGCCAGGTGGTTACCTTTGTGGGGCATTGTCTGGAAAAACAAGAAGGGCTTTTAGTGTGCTGGTAATGTTCTTGATCTAGTTACATGATTGTGTTCAGCTTGTAGAAAATGTACTGAAGTGTGCTTTTCTTCTGTATGTATTATATACCAATTACAACTAAAATGGAATGCCATTCTTTAGGAATAATTTTAAGTATAGATACACTCAAGTGAGTGTTGTGGTTTTTACAAATCATCTTGATTTTTCAGCCAAGCCAAAGCCATGTATTCCTGTAAAGCAGAACACAGCCATGAGCTCTCCTTCCCTCAAGGAGCGATATTTTCTAATGGTGAGTACACGTTCCCTTTGCTTAAGTCATCATCATGGGGTGGGAATAGTACGGTGGTGAGAATCTAAAGTCGGAGGCAGGAGCTTCCTGTTCTATTCCGGGCACTGCCCCCCATGACCCCACCAAGTCCCTCTGATACTCAAGAGGCTGAGTGGGGGGAGCTGCTTGAGACCAGGAGTGAGCTGCGGTGTGCAGGGGTCACACCTGTGAACGGCCACTGTGCTCCAGGCTGAGTACCAGAGTGAAGCCCTATCTCTAAAACAATAAGCACGTAAAGATTTTAAAAGTCTGTCTGGACCCCAGTTTCCTTCCCTGTGGTTATTTGTGTATATGTGCCTGTTTGTATGTGGGAGTGTGTGTGTGAGAGAGAATTTTATTTATTACATGAATGCAAAGGACATTCCAAGTCTAAAGACCTGTAATACTGTTCTGTTTTGATAATTTCTGTGTACAGTTGGCCCTCCGTATCCAGGAGTTCCATATCATGGATTCAGCCAACCCATAAAGATTATAAACTAAATAGATAAATAATAGCAACATGATAATAAAGTAATATAAATTGAAAAGCAATGTAACAACTATTTACATAGCACTTACATTATATTAGGTATTATAAGTAATCTAGAGATGATTTAAAGTATACAAGAGGATGTGGCTGGATCATATGCAATTACTAGGACGTTTTAGGTCAAAGACTTTGAGCATTTGCAAAGTTTAGTATATACAGAGGGCCCTGGAACCAATCCCCCTCAGATGCTGAGCAAAACCTATACACATACAATCTGATATGGATTTTTACCCATTTGTTTATATAATTATTTAGTGTAAATATTGATTGTGACTGATTAATTGATTTCTCTTTTTCTCTATTTGTTTATTTTGCCAGTGTATCCCTCGGTGGAACCGGGATGGTTAAAGGCAACTTACGAAGGCAAAACGGGACTAGTTCCAGAAAATTATGTTGTCTTCCTCTAATACTGTTTAGTGGATGGCAGTATCTTCATGGTATCCATGGTAACGAATAATAAATGCTATGATTTATCTGACACAGATACGGGGATCAGCCCCCTAAATGAAACCAGTCAATTTCTATCAAGTCCTTCACCAGCAGACCATGTAGCTCCCTGTCAATGGAAAAGAATGTTTTAAATTGTTTGCCATTCTTTTGGGGGCTGATTTCTTCTTTTTAAATATCTGCTTTTTTTTTCCCCGATAAGTAGCACCCTACAATGTCTCTTTTATAGCAATCATGGGATCTCGAATTCTGTGTTAAATACGATATCCCAGAAATTTCAAAAAACAAAAATCTGCTAAATAGATTTTGAGATCTGTCCCTATATTCTCTGAGGAACCTTGAAATCACTACTTAAAAATATAATTTAAATTGTTCAATAATTATTTTTTTCTTAAAAATATACTGCTTTGATATATGATTGTTTTGCTGGTCCTAAACATTTCAAGAATATAAGTGTTTGTTTTAAGATAACTTTATTTGATTCCCACGTAGATAATATTCAAAAGCAATAATGTATATGATGTCTGTAAAGGAAGCCAGATCAAGTCGTACACTGATTCCACTGTAAACCCTCATCCAGCCTTCCAGAACCTTCCATGGTGTAGTGCAGGGGTCAGCAGACTATTTCTGTAAATGCCTGATAGTAAATATTCCTATTCCTGTGGCAGGCTAGGTTTGTCTTGTGGGTCACTTAGTTTGTGGACCCCTTGTTTAGAGGATGTGTAAAGCTATCTTCATAAATTGGAGATTGTCATTAAATTTTGCTGCATTACAATATAAAAAATTATTTGCACATCTCTTCTCCTGGTAGCATAATAGTGGCATCTCAGAAAAACAGTCACAGTAATGGGAAAACTACAAAAGTGACATACAAAGGTCTACAACTTAAAATTCTACTTGTAACATTGAAAAATGTCAAAGTACTTTACTGATACCCATTTGGGCTTTTGAGATGTTCTTCTACAAATGAAAAAGATGTCATTTGCAGACACTCTTAGAGAAGCCGTGCCTTCTGAAGTCTGTGCTTAGTTGACACAAAATAAGCAGGAAGGTACAGGACTCTTAAATTATTCTGAACCACAGAGTTTGGAATTGTCCCATCATTTTTAGCAGGAATAAAATCTGTGTGTGATTTTCTTTTGTGCTGTTCAGTTTTCCCCTTTCCTAGGAATTTCACTGAATTTATAGAGCACAGTAATAGGTATTTACTACTCATTTATATACGACAGCAGCATCTGATCCTGCTTCAGCCATTATTTCTATTATTTCTGTTATTTCTATTTCATTAATTCTAATATATTATTTCCTTAAACATGTATATGTGGCAAAGAGCCTTTCCTCTCAAGATCCTGCCATTTGCCTACAGACACTCAGGTATTGACTATATAAAACTTTTTACATGATATTATAATCTGTAATCTTAATATCTTCTACTTTATATTAATGTTTGCAGAGTTAATAGGTTAAATACACATGCACACAACTATGCCTCATAGCACATATGCTTCTACAAACAAAATTAATGGATTAGAATTAACAAGGAGGGAGAATAACATAGGAAGAAGAGTCACAAACAGGAATAAATGTCAGTGAATCAGGATAAAACAATGGGAAAAACTCTAATGTTATAAAGATTAGTAATGTAATGTAAACGTCTGATTAAAAACTGTCTATTTCTTTTACCTCTTGCTGTTGATTCTGTGCACTGTAACTGGATGTTGCTGGAGCTTCCTGGTCTAGGTCCTTGGCCCCTTGGTAGTAATAGCAGCACCACGCCCTAATTACCCTCTGCCGGAACAGAAGGTAATCCTTCCTTCCCTGTACCAGTCCCTGAGTCTGTACGACACCCTCCGCTTAGGCATCCTTGCCACCGTCTGGCATCCTGCTAGATTAGAACCTCTTAAAGCAAATTGGTTTTCTTTCAAAGGCCAACTTGACTCCAAAGAGAGATTCAGAATCTTAGTTCTCTTGCTGCTGCATAAAGAAATCTCAACCTTCATTTTATTTGAACACAGACCAGAGTGTTCCTTCTTCTGAGTAGATTGTGAGCTCGCCCCACGGACACTCCATTTGGAATTAAAGCTTTTTCTGCGTGGGACGTGGGTATGAAGCCTGCACTTTTTTCTGCTGGCGGGCGTGCTCATGCTCTGGCCCCTTTCCGGAAACACGCTGCAGCAGTGCTGGCTCAAGTTTTGCTTCTGTCTGAAGTTTTGATCTGGGGGGTTGTGAGAATGCTTCTTTTTCTTCCTCTTGACCATGTGCGTAGGCAAGTCATGGCCATATGCTAGAGACAGGCTGACGCTGCTTCTCCCTGACAGAAGATTCCCTATAGAAAGGTATTTCTGAGCACTGAGAAAACCTGGGCATGAACCCCAAACCTCACAGGATGTTAATTACACAAGAAGTGAATGCCAGTCATCGGAGGAGGGTCACAGTCACAATGTTAATTGCATCTCAGTGACACCTCAGCTCTTCAGAAACAGGGTGAAGCTGCATGAGAATTCCCACGTGCCCACCCTTGAAACACAGCATATGCCCCCTAATCACTGCATGGTGTAATCAGTGTGAGGACGAGATTGAGGGGGTCGGAGTTAGTCATCCTGTGTGTCATGTGAAAATATCCCGAGGACAAAACATTGTGTATCTCATAGAGGACTCTTGTTGTGCCATAACTCTACCAAGTTTATAGAAGCCAGGCAGACAGATTGTTACGTTGTGTTATGTGTGAAGGTCTGAAAAGCAGAATCATCTTTGTACTCCTGCAGTGTCTGTGAAGTGTGGGAAGCAACACTTCTCCCCGCTGGCCGGCGGCTCCCCCTCCCGTTGTGTGGGTTCCCTGTGCTTGTAACATACACAAGCTTTGCCCCGCTGCTCAGTGGGGGGCTGGCAGGTTTTTCAGGAATGGTGGAGGAAAAACAAAAAGGTCCCTATAATCCCAAACTATCTAAGTCTCCAAAGATGAAAAATAAAGAATAAAGATGCTTCTGACTTTTATTCTTATTCTGTGAATATTAGCTTTATCATGGCATGCCTTCTAAAAACCCGCTATGTTGTGAGAAAAACAGATTTCTGATTATAAGCCTGTGGCGATGCCACTCTGCTCCCCTCCGCACTCCCAGCCCTAGTCCTCAGGTCTGTGTCTGGGGCATCCTTCACGGGGGTTCAGTCCAGAAGGGTGCCTCAGAGCTTGGCCTCAGACCACTTCAGTTCGTGATGTACTCAGGATGCCCGCGTTAGCATTTTGAGCCCCAGCTTGACTTATACGTCATTGACTGAAGTCAGAGGCAGTTTAGGAACAGAGTTTTTTTCCTTTGGGTTTAGGATACATTTGTAATCCACAGCTGTTACCACGACTTCAAATCACTACATAGGACCCTGAAATCATATCTCCTGGGAAAGAAAAAAAAACACGCCGTGTTTTTAGTTTAGTTTTGTTTTTTGACTGTTGTCCTAAAGTTATTTTTCTCTTGATTAAAGACTTCTCCGTCAGGGTAAACGTTACTATTTAGTTTCGCCTCCTACCCTTTCTTGTTTTCTTCCAAAATCAAAACACTTTGAAAAAATAAGGCCAGTTTCTGAATCCTCTGTGTGCTGCCCGTCTCCTGTTGATTCACAGACTTACTATCAGGTATTCATCAGCTAGTCTCAACTTCCCAGAACACGTTCATTGTATCCATTCATTGTCAGGGTCCACTTGGTAATAGCCTGGGGCGAGCTTAGGCTGATGAATGACATGGGCTTTTAGAGGGTCAGATCAATAAATTGGATTTTTAATTTTTTTTTTAGAGCAGCTTCACTCAATGTTTTAAATAAAGAATCTTAAATAAGAATGTTGCTAGCACTCACAGTAAGCCATTGGCAAAGACCTTGATGTGTATGTGTTAGAGCAATGTTTAGAAGCTGTTGCCTGGTTTGGGGGAGCCCGGTGGATCACCTCTTCTCTCCATGGAATTTACTTATTGGGGGTGGAGGCTAAAGATGCCCAGACCACCACAGTTTCTCGTGCCATCTGCCATCTCTGGAGAGTACTTCCCCTGGACTTCACACTTGCAGTTTGAGGACAATTCATATTTCCCTTGAATCCACTCAGTCTGTTGGCTTGAAGGTGTGCGTTCTGTACATGGCAGTATGTTCAGAGTTTTAATCTTCAACTGCCTCTTTTTTGCAGAAGATGACATCCATTAGAATTGTTTTAAGAATACATGGGATTTATGCTTAAAATCCAATGTATCACCATACATTGAAGCCTGGGATCTCAAGAGTTCGTGAACTCTGGACTGAAACCTTTACAAATAGGGAGTGTGGCAGGGAAGATGCCTGGTTTTTAATTCAGAATCCTATTTATATGCTGTTAAAATTTGAGGTACTGTAGTTTATATAAAAGTGGGATATTTAGATATTATATTTCGGTTCTAGGAGCTTTGCAGCCATTAACATGACAAATTAATACACATGATGAAAATGATTGTCAGTAAATTATCATGTTGAATTTTCTGTTTATTTTGTAGTATTTCTGTATTTATCTGCACTTTGTATATATATATACACACACATATATTCCATCATGTAAATAGCCTCCTGTTATCCCTAAACTGCCACAGTATCTTTAATGTTATGTTTACACTGTGTTTTAAGTTACATTAAAATAAACTGTGTAAGCACCTTTTAACTTAGTCTTTGTACTTAAGACCCATTGTGTTGGAGGACAACTGTCTTTGCTTAATATAGAGAAAAACCAAGATTTCTGTTACTGTGAGTGATCGTTTTGGGTATGGCTAAGTGGAAAATCATAGCAGGATTGGGTATCTTTTCCTGAAAAATTAGAAGTGATTACCGAATATTATGCAAGATTAGGAAAATGGTAATGTTGGTACCTGTTAATAATGCAGGGGTCTGCCGAGGAGGGAGGGAAGTGGGCCTAAAGTGAAATATCAAATATATCAGGTTTACCAGAAAACATGTTTGCAAAGTACCAGCACGCAAATACTCTTTGATTTTTTTTATTAGTTTTATTACCCTTTTAGTCACTATTTGACTTATAGGTAACATTTTGCTTATCTGCATCAATCATGTATTTATTTTGTTTTGTAAAACAGATTATTAGAGTGCAGCAAATCACGTTGCCAGAGCTAAGCCTGACAGGTAGAGCAGTGGGCAAACAACCTGGTTTGCTCAGACGGATTGCATTTTCCATCAGTATCAGAGGAGAGGCGATAAATTCATGATGTAGAGCTGTTAAGGTAAAACAATTTTAATTCCAGTCTGGTTAGGCAGGAAAGGACTGTTAGGGTAGGCATTAGAGATCATTGTGGATGGAGCTACTATTAAGGAATGCTGGGTTA